CCACCCCCCCCAATTAAACTACAGCATCTTCAAGGAGATCTTCTCACTGATCTGGAAACAGGGTAAAAGGTCTGGAACAGAGGACTGAGGAATTGGTTTCAAAATCCCATGCCCTCAACTTTTTTGTGCTTAATTATATGTGTTAATAAAGAAAAAGACAATGCCCTCTGCCACAAAATAATTGATCTCTCCTCTATCTAGATCAGGAAGATACTGGCTAAAAATAAAAATATATACTTTATTTACAATAAATGCATCTATACTGCTCCATCCACCACACCCATGTTGCTGACCACTGCTGAAGCCAGGTGGTAGCAATAGTGGTAACTGAAGTACCTTTCTTCTTCAACCTTTACACAAAGCCTTTCCCCTCCCACCCCATTGTTTTTCCACTGTTCTAGACTCCAATGAGATGCATGCTAACATCTTTCTAGTGCATTTTTCTTAAGGTTACAGTTTCTAAAGGCAAAGCAAGGCTTGCTCTGCTCTGTTATAGCTGTCTTTGCCCCTTTTAAAATCATGTAGGAGTTTCAAATTTACATGCCATTATCAGCTCTGCATAGCAATACCACAGGTTGGGTTCTCCTACCTCCCCTTAACTAATAATCCTGTGGCTCCCCTTTTTCAAATACCTCCCATCCTTCAGAAGGTTACCTCTCACTCTCAGGGAAGAGCCCTAACTCTTTCTCCACCCACATGAACATTGCAGAATGAGAATTTCAAGTTATCATTTAAGTTTCCTTCAAGTCTATGTTGCACTACTTCGAAGCAAATGCAGTGGAATAATCTTTTCCCTAACATTAAAGGACATTTATCAGATTATTTGTCTTTTTCTAGTCTTGAGTTATAAGAATATTTGTCACACATGTTCCCTCATATTCCTTTCTTAAGGTGCACAGTGGTCAGGCTGAACAAAGTCCAGCCCATAAGACCAGAGCTGGATCTCTGGGACAAGCCAGAGAGAATGAGGGGTTTCAGCATTACTGTACTTACATTCAGGATTCAAGGACGGGCTGAAGGATGCCCATTTTAAGAGACAGAACTGCTTCAAAAAAATCCTCTATTTTATTACTATTTTTTATGTCATGAAAGTTATTTCTTTTCTGTCCTGTGCAGCTGATACCCTTCTGTAACCGACATTTAATAGTTGCCATTGCACGCTACCTTCTCATTGCTTAGCTCAAGTGCGACAGAGCTGGCCTGCAGACCCACCACGAGCACGGTGAGCTGGTGCTGGGGCCAGCAGTTCAGACAGACCACCTTCACCACTGCAGGCAGGTGGCCCAAGGAAAACATGGGACACTGAAGAGGGCACCTATTGGGAACATTTAGTAGGGTCTGACATACACACTGACAACATGAGCCAAAAATGAATGTAAGTGAGTGTATTAGGTTGAGAACAATTAGTGCGAGTGATAAATATATCTGCTGCCAGCTCCCAGCTTCATTAAGAGCTATTCTGAATGGCACAGTAAGTGCTGGTTGTAGAAGCTTAGGCAGATTGGAGATAGCTCACCGGTTGCTCATGAGTCTAAGTTTTAAAGAAAAAAAAACTGATAAAAAAACGTGTGCTTTGCCATTTGAGTAACTCTGATCTCAAGCTTGGGCATAGCAGTAGTTACCTGGCATAACAAATCAACTGAAACAGAATCACTGTTTCATTCATTACATACACATGCAAAGTTAAACTGTGTTAAGGATAAGCAGCATAGAAATCAAGTCTGTTACCCATTATTTACCATACATTTGTCAGGCTGACATACGTATCTTTTCATATTCATATCTGTGTCATACAAAACATAGTATATGGAGAAATCATGAAAGTAACACTTAACCCTACACAGCATTGGCCTTTAGTGCCAATGCATATTGTGTCATCAGCCTTCCAAGTTTACCAAACATTTGGGAGAAAACAGATGCATTACCAAACCATGAAAATAGAAGACTTACAACTCATTCTGCTCAGAACTAAAAGGAAATGGTTTTACAAAGTTGTGGACAGATGTATAACTACTTCCCCCTCAGTCCTGGGATAGAAAGGGCAGCACAGCTGCATGGCTAGAACTTGACTCTTGAAAAGCAAACAAAATCCAGGAAATGCAATGACTGTGTAGGCAAAAATCTGTTTGGAAAGCCGTGCTATTGAAGAGCTGAGCCAATGTTCTGTGCAGCGAAGTGATGAACAGTACAATTGACCGCCTCATGTGGGACAGACCATAAGATGACATTCTACAAAAATCCAGTTTAATTTCACATTTCCAATATCTCTCCTTGCCCTTTAGCAGTCTGCCACAGATTTTAAACTTGTAAAGCTCCTTCTCATTGAGCTAGATTTCCCTCCCCCCCCCC